TCCATACATCTCTGTCCCTTCCGCTTTCCCGAGCCGTCTCATCCGCCACATTCTTTCTCTTGCTTTGCGTCACTTTCTATCAGTTTATCGCTTCCCCTTTCCCTTAAATATCCATCCATCTCTTGTTCTATCACAAGGCCACAGTATCCTCCATTCATCATAGAAACAGGTCTGTCTGAGAGCATCTATCCGCAGCCTGTGTTGAGACAAGTGACAAATCAAATGTTCATATATTCAGGCAAAGCAGAGACATAAGGGGGAGGAGACGGATGTGAGAAATCGTAAAACTCCACATGGCGGCTGAAGGAACCTAAGTCCCGCCTATATCCGTTAAAAGAGCCAATTGCCTTTGTGATGAACTCGTCACAACTTTCAGCACAGAAGATGTACGACTAGTCCTGGCTGCAGCAATCTTGAGCTGTGATGGTAAAGACAGTAAACCGAGAAAAGTGAATAGTCCTTTTTGATAAAAAAATATAGATAAATTTAAGAGTCCTTAAAGTTATAATCATCGTATTTAAGAGAAAATATGAAATTTAAATATTTTATAAATGTATAAACATTTTTAGTAATATAAAAGTGTAGGAATTTTAAAATCGTATATAAAAATAAGTACTTTTAATTAGATTATATTACATATTAAAATACTTGTAAACAGACTGCAGGTACTTTTTTATTGAATATTTGATTACATATTAACACTGGCAGTAAATCATTCATAATTTATTTGACTGAATTTGATTTTCCCTAATTCTTAATAGTCTTTTTCAATTTTCCTTTCTAAAAACCTGCCAATTATATATGAAGAGTTCAGATGCAAAAGCCTCTAAGTGCCATTTGAAATTTTCTTCTAAAATGATGATTTTTATCAAGCTTGTAAATTTAAGTTCAGTAATTTCACTTAAATGGCAATGAAGATTTCCTATTAATTGTCATTTAAGTGAAATTACTGAACTTAAATATACAAGCTTGATAAAAATGGTCATTTTAGAAGAAAATTTCAAATGGCATTTAGAGGCTTTTGCATCTGAACTCTATATATACACACATCCAGAAAGTCTTCTAGTTTTGTAGAATTGCAGACACAGACCAGCTATTCAGGTGGTTATAATTGCACGGAAATTGACCACTGAGTTTTCGGAGATTATTTCACTTTTAAGGAAGGGATTCTCAACATTGGATATTGAATCTTTTTACAAATTTACAAATTATTATTTTTATGATTTATTTTTTAACTTTTCTTCAAACCCACAAACCCCTTACAGTTCCATCTCAAACCCCAGTTTGGCAAACCATGACAATATAATGTTTAATACATTAATGTTGTTTATTTTATTTTTCTATTGGGTCAAAAATAATCTAAAAGTACTTTTATCTTCAGATTATATTACCTAAAAATGTGCAATGTAATTTAGAATCAGTAACGGACTACAATCGATTAATATATATATATATATATATATATATCATGACTTTGGCCAAAGATGTATTAGTGCGACAGCAAAAATGATCAGACGTGATTGTGTTCTGTTTTCACATCATAATAACCCACTCATACTTTTTCCTCTCTCTCCACCTTTTTAGTTTGGACAGCCAGTGCACAACACCATCCATCTCCCCCTTTCGCTGCGTCTTTCTCTGGGAGAGCTGTTCAGTTTGCAGACTTGACCTGCTGCAACCCTGCATTCAATAAAAGACACGGAGTGATGGAGAGTCAGACGCAGCACTGGTGATTGGCCATTTGTGCTCTTGTATCTATCGATCAACAGGTATTGTATTGATCTCACAGTATAGCCACATAAATCGTACACTTGATTGCAAATTGCACACGTATAGACAGAGGTAAAATAAATAAACAGATTCACAAGCAAAAAGGGACTGTGACATGAAGAAACTGTCTCGGTAAAGTGGTTCAAAACTGAATGGGTTGAGAAACCTTGAGCAAGATCCTCAACTGAACCATCAATACACAAACAAATGCTTCATTCCACACTCTCTCAAGGATGACACACACACACACACACACAAACAAACACACACTTTTTTATGAGCTTACCTGCACACATGGCAGCACACACCTTTAAAAGAGTATTCATGCCACACAAACATGAAGACATAAGAAAACAAACATAAGACTCACACATTCCACCCACAGGGATTATACGGGCCACGCGTATCTAATATTCGTAAGTGCTTTTTTTTCCCTGAGTCTTGTTAAACAGAGCAGAGAGAGAATTAGAATTTCAAGAGGCTTTGAGAAGAAAAAAAAAAACTCAATTAGAAGCAGCTCATGCAGGATGTACACACACAAAAAAATCGACACAAAACGCCAGCAAGTACCAGCTTTTCACATCTAATCCACTGGTTAGCCCATCAGACCTGTTCTATAAACAGCCTGCAGGTAAGTTCTAGAAAACACTTCAGCCAAGCTTATTGCGATCAGTTTCCAGCTAGTAAATCAGAGGAGCCAGCGACCCGAGTCGCATGAGATTTGTTCATGGTTTTGATAAATATACATTGGGGTCCACGATGAAAATCTGAGACTGAATATCTTATTTAAAGTTAAGATGTTGAAACATTTCAAAGAAATATCGTGAAAGGCACTTCCTGTATATCTAGGTCACAACCAAATTGTTATACACGCATCACTATTTGTAATGAACAAAATTGCATTTTCACAAGTGATCTTTTGGACCCCACTGTATTGTACATTCATATTACAAAACGGGTAGTTCCAGTTCTGGTGTCTGATTTGTCAATTCATTGTTTAAGCGGTTACGTTACATAGCAACGTTCTGTTATGTCAAGGTCTTAATTGGCCCATTTACACTAAAGATGATAACTATACTGCCCTACAAAACAAAAAGGCAGTAACTACACCGAGTGCAGAACTGAGAAAAATGACTTTCACTAGGGCTTTTTGCAGTTACTGTACAAACGACTACAATTTTTCTCCAAAACGAGACACATTTAAGATGATGTTTTGTCACATAACAAAGGATGCCTTGAATGTCATTAAAATTATAATAATTAATGTTTGACCAAAACTGCAGTTACTGCCTTTTTGCATTGTAGGGCAGTATAACTATAAAGTATTAACAATTGTTCCAATTCTACGAAAATAGGGAAATCCACGCCACAGCTATAGTGGTTATCTTTCTAGTTGTTGCTCTTGGTGTGATTGGGTCAGAAGAATGACACTTAATGGAGAGCTGCAGGGATGATGTATTTTTGTAGGCCAGAACCCAGAAACGAGTCAGCATTTCAGCACTTTTGGTTTCATCATCCTGAAGACGGACCCATTAAAATGGGTTTTTGGTTGAATGCCTGAAGTAAGCTAAAGATGTTTTATTTCTATAACATAAAATACATCAGTACTACTCTCTCTTGATTTATTTTAACGCTTATAATTATCTTGACTAATACGGTTGTTAACAAGTGGCTAAATGAGACTACAGTTAATAAAATAACCCAAGTGGGTAACACTTTATAATAACTGCACACTATTAATCATTAGTTAAGCATGAGTAAACAGTTAATTCATCATTTATAAAACATTAATAGACATTAATATGCAGTTTATAAATATAGCTATACATGCTTTTTTCTTGATTTATAAGCATATCTATAATGCGTTTAATGATTGTATTTTCATACTTTGTTAATGATCAATTAATAATTTCTAAATGAAGTATAGCATTATTTACAAACCAGTTGTTTAAGAGTTGTCAGATCACTTAGAAAGTGTAAGTAAATGTAGTAAATACAGGTAGTTATAAAGCATTTAGTAGTGGTCAGTTAACTATTTTTGTGAGCTAATCTAAAGTGAGGACTATTCATGCTTTGTAAAGCATTTATAAAGGTGATTTAAAGACTCATCAATCTTCTAAACAGTAAAATGTAACAAACACAACGCAGTGATACAGAACATAGAAATATTTAACAGCCTTTAAAAATGCTTTACAAGGCATGACTAGTCCTCACTTGATGAGCTCACGAACATAGTTAACTGACCACTACTAAATGCTTTATAACTACCCAAATTAACCCTTAATTACAGCATTAATACATGTTAATAAAGCATTTATTAACACATTAAGTAACCATCACTATATGTCTGAATAATAAGATGTATGAATGTACATTTAAATAGTTTATTAATCATTTACTTACTCGCTCTAAGTAATCATATGAACCACTGAAAACTCTTAAATAACTGGCTCATAAAAAATGCAATTCTTCATTTAGAAATGATAAATTGATCATTAATAAAGGATGCAAATACAATGATTAAACAAATTATAGATATGCTTTTAAATCAAGAAGAAAGCATTTAGCTGTATTTCTGAACTGCTTATTAATGTCTATTAATGCTTTATGAATGATGAATTAATGGTTTACTCATGCTTAACTAATGATTATTAGCGTGTAGTTATTATAAAGTGTTACCAAAAAGGGTCCGTTTCTATTTCAGTTAGAATTACACATTCAGCTTCTACAATAAAGTAACTCTCGAGTCTAGTGTATATATGTTTTTACTTGCAGACATAAGACCTCGATGGACTAAAAAAGAAGAAATGATTTCCACGTCAAAGCAGGTGGAGTCTCAGAGCCACGCCTACCCATTACATCATCACCACACACCAATGGTAGTAGGATGGCATTTTTCCGGAAAGCTCACTTTGGCAAGCTGTTTCAAACTCCCGACATGAACACGAAACGTACTTAATTTTGGCCTGATTTTGTTCAGAACGATGTCACACTCTTTGTTCTACGGTTTTAACTTGAAATATATTGGGACCTTTGGTCTCTGTTGAACTTTTTTTTTTCACTTCAGTTTCGAAAAGGTTTCATTTTATTTATTTATTTTTGTGGTTATGTTTTACCCAATTTTTGTGAGTATGCTCAGCACTTATGTGTAATTGTTTTTGTTGTATAGTAGTTGTTTTTTTACAAACAAGATAAAGCCCCGTACAAAATTCCTTTAATGGAACCAAAAACCCTTTGTGTTGTCTGTCGGACAGGCTTTTATTTATTTAAAAAAGCCAATTTTCTGTTTCAGCAAGAGATCCAGATTTGTCTAATCCATGACTGAGACCAAATATAAAGAGATAACGAAATCAGCAGAAAGCAGGATAACCGCTAAGAATTGCCCATACCACAAACATGTTGTGGCTGTTACAAAACAAGAAGAAACACACAAACACAGACAGGTTTGTGTTTTTTTGGCTTTTTTTTCATACAGAAAGCCTGGATTCAAATACACAAGTGCTACAAGGAGGAAAAATCTCAAATAAACATCACAAGGAAAAAAAAAAAAAAAAAAATTGTTCCATGAGCATTTCCCCATTTTTACACTCCTCACTGGATTCATCAATTTATTCACCCTGTAAAAGGAGACCAAACCACTTTAAGTCCATTACAACATCTCCATTTGGAAGTCAGGCTAGCTTGTGGGTTGTAAGTCAAAGTTCATAAACGTTCTAGGTTTCAATTTTCCCAAGAAACAGAGGACAGTTCTGGAAAAGGTTGTTTGTCGTCACAGGAATCTACTAAACGCTGATGTCGCCATTACGAAGACACATGCCACCTATTAAAAAGTTATTTCGCAATAATAACAGAGTTTGTCCTCTATTCCTTTTCGAAAGAACAAAACCTCCATCCATGACTGTAAAGCGGAATGTCTACCGGCCAATCATTTTTGAAGGGAGGGATGGAGCGATAATGGAGAACCGGTTCACACAGTGAAGGAGAGCACAAGGTAGTGCCAGCGGAAGGAGTTACGTAAAAAGTCCAGTCTTAATCCATCTCACGTTTAACTGCCCAAACAAAAAAAGCTCAACCTTGATCCATCCACCCACGCTCATGAATCCAGTCCAACAGAATCATTTCTCTCTGGAACAGATAGCCAGACTGGTGCAGAGGTCGGCCACATTTTTGGACAGAAATCGACCTGCGGCAGCCTCCACACTCAACACTGGAACCCGACGGTGGGGCAGCAACAAACAGGGTCCTCTGCGCTGGAGGGGTCTGTCTGGATAACGTGAAGGAAGGGGGCAGGTCAAGAGCTGGTTTAGGCATCTAAAGGGACAGAGCTTTGGGGGGGGGGGTTGTAAATCTAAAATAGCACCCCCCTCTTGTAGGCAGTTGTCTGTTGAGTGTGTGTGCATGTGTGCGGGTTAGGTAACGGTAAGGGGCGACACTAAGACTGTTTGAGGCGTTTGCGGGGAGGGCCCAGGAAAGGGCACTGGGCGGAGGCCAGGGATCGGTATGCCTCGGCAACCAGGTGAGGATGAGACGCCACCATTGACTTCCACCCTGAGGTCTCCATCACATCAGATGCATGGCTGAGAGAAAGAAAGAGAGAAACATTTAGAACACAACCCTCTTCGCTGAGCTCAGCATCCCGAGGGCATTCACACTGCACTATCACGCACACCAAAAAATGGCCTTTAACGACATTTACTCTGAGTGTGTTTGTGTGTAAGACGCTGACCTCCCCCTAACCCCACCACGCTGTTGCCCCCAAACACTTGGCATTAATTGCAGCTCTTGCTCGCAGCGTCGACATCAGGCTTTGCGGGCAGATACCCATACCACTTTCCCCAATGCAAAAGGTCACTGCGCGGTCAACCATCCACAAAGAACAGGTTACAAACACTTTACAAGCTTTCCAAAATAAATGGGAAGTAAACAAGATGGAGGGCAAAAGAAAAAAACTTCTTTTATATGAAAAAGTCTTGTGTTTGTAAATGTGTCAGTGGAAAAAAAAATCTATACATTTATCAAGCATTCAGAAGTTAATTTGAAAGTGTTTGCTCAGGTTTCATGCACTGCTGCCACTTTATACATGGCAAACTTAGACATGACAGGAAACAATGGTGATATGAGGGGGAATGGGAATAGGAGCTGCTGCATGACTTAAACCCACATCTTTTGCAATCTTTCTTCAGATGCACTGACATTACAATTCTGGCTAATACCTAGAAGTAATTAATTATTGTTTTATGTTATGGCTGACAATTGAATATATATATATAAATTCAATTGTTAGCCATAACATAAAAAAAATAATTAATTACTTCTAGGTATTAGCTGGAATTGCAATGTCAGTGCATATATATATATATATATATATATATATATAATAAATTGAAATAAATTAAAAATAAACAAAAAACTAAAATAAATAGTTTTAAATACTGCATTTAAAGAATGTTGGCATCACAACATTATAAAATACATTGTGAAAAATAGATATTTAAATTAGTGTTTTTAAAGATTAACTTTAAATAAGCTAGATAACAGCAAAGGTAATCCGAATGTAAAAAAAAAAAAAAGGATATGAAGCATGCACTATTAAATATTGAAACCTATAAATTAGACAAATCTATAAAACCTCCCAATAATATGTTAAAAATATATTGATATATTCTGAGCAGGATGCTCCTGCTAGCAGTCCTTGTCTTGTGATGACTGGACAAAGTCTGGCACGGTGTGGAAAACTGCTGCACTCTGACACTAAACTCCAACATGCCGCAATAAAAGCATTTGAGAAGAGGAAGACGAGCACATAAACCAATAACATAAGCAGCAAACATGAAAGCAGGAAAAGAAGGGCAGAGAGGACAAATCATTTTGGGAAGGGGTGCTGGTGTGCATGTTTATTTTCTGTGTTGCCCTTGTTATTGATCTCCCTCTGTCTCTGCTGTTGTTGTGGTGGTGGGTGTTTTGTATAGAGATTGAGAGAGAGAGAGAGAGAGAGAGAGAGAGAGAGAACTGAAATGATATGGCCACAGTCCAGCTTCATGCCAGCCAAGTAACTGCCATCCACAAAATAAACTCAAAATTACACCGTCCAATAAAGCTGCTGCAAAGACAGACTGAACAAGCTAGTAAAAAAAAAAACAAAAAAAACACTACAATATAGAACATAAAAGATAAGTGTGGAGAGAACAGAGGGGGAGACTGAGTGAAAATAACAGTCAATTTAAAGAACTTAAACAGTATTTGCTATTCTAAGAAGATTGAAAGGAACTGGTAAATGCATTTATTGTTATTATTTGCATATACACATAATAATTGATTCGAATTAATTAAAATATTTATACTTAAATATATATATAATATAGTATACAATTTCAAAATAAAATGTAAATATTCCCATGTTAAACATTTAATAATGGCAATATTTATTTATATTGGATTTTTTTTTATTTCTTTTAACGTTCTACGGTTTATGTAATATGTGCGTGCGTGTGTGTGTGTGTGTGTGGGTTGAATATAAAAATAAAAATACATTAAATATTGCCATTATTAAATGTTAATCCATTTTTTTGGATGGAGGCCACTGAAAATGTAGGCAGGTCAAGTAAAACCTGAACTACAGACTCGAGTTCCACTCACTAGTTGATGAAGTCGACGGCCTGTGTCTTGAGCTGGTCGGCACTGTGCAGGTCCGCCAAGATCAGAATCTCTGCTGCGTTTTCCACAGACAGACTTGTGCACAGAGCGTCCTCACACATCACCTTCAGCCGCTCTAGAGCATACTAAAGACAGAGGAATGCACTTCACTAAAAATATGTATGCTAGAGATGGCAAAACAAAGCATGTACTATTGGCACTGGCAGCCAATACTTGATTATTTTAGTTTGCTGCTTACGACATGTGCACTTTCTGGTCCCTTTATATGTAAGTTTGGCAAGAAACTGTGAATGCATAACTGTGAAGGGGGGAAAATGCCATTCAGACTTAATAAACTTATTTGAATTCTTCCTCTGTTTGGCTTATATATAGCTAAATAGGGTGTTTGTGTGTGCGTAATACTCGCCTTGTCAGCGGCAGCGAGCAGGTCATCAGCCATCTTGTCCAGATTGGGTGCTTTGCCAGTGTAGATGAAGAACATCATCTCTTTAAAGACCTCAGCCTCCACGTCGTTTATCTCCACTCGGTTCTAGGCGGGAGATCACAGCAGAATCTGGTCAACCTTACGGTCTCAGAGAACATCAGATTGGAAAACCCTGAAGATTCCTGTCAGTCTACTGACTGAGCTTTTGAAGTTTTAAGAGCTAACGTAATTGGACCCGATGCAGTTCAGAGTGTTAAAACTGTTGTTGAAGCGTAATGCGTAATTGTGTCGAAGTCTGGCTTTTCCGCTCATTAACAGCGAACACACAACCACTGACCTGCACCGCAGAGTGTGTACGAGCACACAAAATTTATATATAGTTCAGAAAGCCTCATTCCGTTTTCTGTTCCTGCTCTGATCAATGTTCCAGAATGAGTGCTGCGAGTTTCTCTCTTCTGCCCAAGGCTGCCGGAGCACAAACTCTTTGTCGATTGTCGTGCTGTTAACAAAGGCTTTTCCGTCCCAGCCCGTCCATCACAGCTAAACTAATTAATGCAGTTACTGCTAGGAAATCCACTCCACCCACAGACTCACCGCAAGGTCAAATGAAAAAGTTCACTCAAAAGAAAAACAGTCAGTAATTGTACTAGAACATTCCTATTTCCAGGGTGACATATCAAGCATCATTGCCTGTCATTTACAAAACGTAACGTAAATCCATCCATTTCTCCCGAAAGACATGAAAGGCTGGTGAACAGGGAGAAGACGTAAAATGTACGTTTGTTGTGGGGGGGAAATAACATGTCTCAAAGTTACATTTGAAAGGTTTATTATGTCCGCTTACTTTTTTTTCCCTCAAATTATAAATGGTTCGCTAGTACTTGTGTATTTAAATGCCTGAAAAAGAAAAAAGAAAACATTATTTGGTTGAAAACTGTCTGAACGCGTGATAATAAATGACAACTGACACACGCTCTCTGGCTCAGTGCCAAACCTGAGAAAGCAGCGCTAATCGGCGCTGTGATCATGCGTCAATGATACAGTGCTATACTAGAGTCAGTGATTACAACTCTGATCTGGGGTTTTAGAAAGTAGGTCAAGTCTTTCCAAGTCACAGGGCTCAAGTCCGAGTCAAGTTGCGAGTCATTGTTGTCAAAGTCTAAGTCGAGTCGCAAGTCATCTTTGAATATGTCAAGTCGAGTCGTAAGTCATCAAATTTGGGACTCGAGTCCAAGTCAAGTCCGAGTCGTGCGACTCGAGTCCACAACCCTGCCTCACTCCCCCTGCAGATTGGGAGTATCATAATAAAAGTTAGTTACAAATGTAATGCAGAATTTGAGAATGAACAAGACCCAAATGAATCTTTCAGACTATTCAAGAAGCAGAATTTCATAGAAACGCCGGCTCTAAATCAGACAATCTGCCATTTGAGACTGTGCAAACAATGAATGCTGGACGATTCCCTTATAGTAATTTAAGTGGCAAAGTCTCCCACACACACGCACAAAAAAGGAAGGCTGTGATGCTTTCGATTCTATGACCAAAACTATAAGGGATTAGTTTGCCCAAACATGAGAATTCATTGAAATATATTTTGTGTTCCACAGAAGAAAGTCAAACAGGATTGGAATGACATGAGGGTGAGTAAATGACATCAGAATATTCACTTTCTTTTAAAGGGACACTCCACCCATTTGCATTAAGCTCTCCATTGTTAGAAATCCAGAATGGTCGTGCAACACTCTCGTCTCACAGGTGTTGCTCATCGGTAATCACGCCGTTCTCCACACAGCCCTCACTCGTCCTGCTCGCCATGGTAAACATGATCAATGGCGACTGTTGAACGCAAAAGCCGAATTTTGGGTGATCAACACATATTTTTTATCACGAGACTCACCACGGAGACTCACTAGTAACATTAGCCAAGACTTTTGTTTAACTACTGCGTTCTGTAGGCGTGACCTCCAAGCCAGCAAAGCAAATGCATTCTGGGAGTTGTTGTCTTTCATCCACATAAGCCAAAAATACATTTTCTGGCTTTTCTCAGTCTAGAAAGCTCCAAATTCAAAAATAATTTCAGATTTCTTCTATATAAATTACCCATTTTAAATACACATTCATCTTTCCAGAGGTGGGATGACCCTTTAAGTTAACTAACATGATGCATTTGGATGCACCGCAAGAGATGAAGATTGCAGGTTTTACACACTTTTCACAGCTCCTAAAACAGCTCCACACCAACCAAAAAAAAAAAAAAACTTGGTCATCAAAAGTACTCGTCCACACCTGAAGCTCCGGTGTAAGAAGTCACTAAAGTATCCAGACAAGCTCATGTGCAGATTTTCAGGAGTCTTTCCTTTAGATATAAAGGGCAACTCATCTGTTTAGTCTCTCTCTGATGAGGCATTTCCTCTCTATTCTCTTGAGATTTTGACTATTGGAGCATCAAAGCCATCAATATTCTACAGATGCCGCAGCGAAATCACTGAGCCCCAACCATCATCTAAATCTGACACACTCGCTTTCACACGTGCCTATACGCAAACTGAACCCCAGATCCCAACATTCATCTATTAACCACACACACACTCTTTCTTAGCACTTAACTCAGCCTCACATATTTGCATGGACCCTCAATAAGCCACACAAGCAAAAGGAACAACAGGAAATCTCACAGCTCCACAAACCCCAAAAGCAAGCACATCCTGTCCCAAAAAATGGTGCATGATGAAACTCTGGGAAAGGGGGATATGGAGAGAGCGACAGGAGGGAGGCAGAGGAATACTGGATCAGCAGATGGTGAAATATGTGAATATCATAGATGATGTTAAGGATGAAGAGCAAGAAGTCAGTCAGGGGAAGGGTAGGGGTATAATTTCAGTATTATTTATATACTACTGCAGTACTCGTAAGGAATTCACTTTTATTTTTTATTTTATATTAGTGTCAGTTTTTTGTATTTTATTTCAATAAACAAATTTATATAAAATATTTTTAATAGTAGCTAACAATAACAATAATGCTGCGTATATCCAACTTTAAATCCAGAGGCAGCAGTTGTTGGGCCACAACCTGTAAGTAGGCTAAGACTTCATCATTTTAAATGTATTTTCATGTATAATCTCAGACGTAACGTTAATGTTTTAGTTTTATCAAATGCCAGCGCTGGCTTTATAGCCACTTAGTTATGATATTTCGTGTTTGACAAACGCGTACAAACAGTTTGGACCTGAATTTTGTATATGTACTAATTTTGTAAATGTATATTTCATGTATATATACTTTGACATTATTTTTTTATTTGATCAAGAACGTAAACCAGTGCCAACACTGTTTGTGTATATAATAGCCAGTCAGTTCGATGCTATTAAGTAAAACAAACGTGTATAAAGTAAAAAAAAAAAAGGCAAATTACCATTCAGAAACGTTTAGTAAGAGCCGTGTGTGGTGAGGTTCTGCTTGACTCTCTTCATCGCCGCTTTCTCGGTCTGATTCTGCCTCATACTGATACTGCAGTATCGACACTATTATGTACATTTGATAGGAACACATGCAACTCTTGCCCGTAAAGGTAATGGGCGTGAAGTTTCCGGACAACGTGCACTACAGTTTAGCCAATCACAACATACCAGCCCAAACTAACCAATCTGAGCCCACTTACCCTTTCTAAGGGAGTGGTTTCCTAGACTCAGGAAGTCAACCACTCGTTCGAAGACAGAGGAGAAAGCGGCTTACAATAAAGGTGAAATTTATGAAAAATTAGTCTATTTTTAAAAAGAAAAAAACACGAATACATGTTATATTGCACCCCATAAACACAATCATGCAAAGAAAAATGCAGCATACCATTCCTTTAACAAAGTGCAGGCCTCTTGATTTACACAGGCTTTCCTTACTGCTGTGATCTATATCAGGCCTAATAAGACTGCCATATTAAAAAGCCATGTAAGAAAAATAGCAAATAGTGATTTATGATCAGCTATTGAAAACGAGCTGGAAGACGGTACAGCTGAGCAATTCTGTAAATGCAGAGGCATTAGATCTCAAACACATGGCCGAACTGAAAAGAATTCCTACTGAGAGAACACTAATACACTTACTGTATAAACCAAGAATTGAGACATCAGGAAAACACTTGCATTCAAAACAAAATGAAATGTAAATGGTGTGAGGGACTCTGTGATTGTGACAGCCTAAAAGGACTGGAGTCGTCTTACTGCTTTTGAAGATTAATGAGAGAAAATGGGAGAAGGGAGCCAACAAAATACACCCGACTCACCTTTTTACTCTCCTCCATCTCGTGTTCAAACATAGCACTGAAAACTGGGGAACGTGCTGAGAAAGTAAAAGAGACGGAGAGAGAGTTTGTTTAATACACAACATAAACTTACAACAAAAATGTATAATAGAGCAAAACAGTGATAGGCCACTTTTTCAGCAGCATTGGTTTCAAGTATTTTTCCCCATTCATGTTCGCCAAAGACAATTTTAGAATGTTCTTAAAAATGTTAAAAAGAACCACAACATTACAACTTTGAAAAATAAAATAAAAACGATAAAATCAGAAAGAAAGAAAAAATGGAAAAAGGAAAAGTTCTGTTTTTATGAAGCTTGGCATATGACGTAAATCAATTCAATCAATTGTTTGTATAATACTTTTGTGTTGTGTTTGTGTTGAAATGTTTCAGTCAATATCTACAGGAACTGCGGTTCCTCCGAAAACTTGTGCCTTGGTGTAACAGACGAAGCTTTTGGCTGATTGACCCAGGAAATGGTGGCGGCTCAGACCTTCCTCTCTGTTAAGTCTGGATATGGAGTCAGATCGGTCTAGGGCAATTTTAACTTGTTTAAAAGCAGTGTGAAGTCCGGCACATTCTCTCCCTCACGCACACACTCTAAATCATAGCTCAGACACCAGCCTATCAGATCCGTCTCCAAGGCGATTAATGAGCACTACCAGGTTACGGCCAGATAACAAGGATTCCCGCCTCACCATGAGCGACAGCGGGAGAGAGTGAGGCTGTGTGTGAAACCTGAAAAACGCTGCCCTCTCAGACAGCATACATTGGTAGGAAGGTATTCAAATGTCCTCCTAACATCATGTCAAAAATTCTGTCTGGTCGATTTTTGAAGGCAGCACATACGCGTCTTTCGCTGCCTATGATATCCCACAATCCTGTACGTGTGGGTCGGCAGTTAGAAAAAAAACGCTGCTGGTCTGACAGAGCAGTTGAAAACAGCGAAATAGTTTATACATGTACATTTTCAGCGTATGATGAGCATTGTGGTCATTAAATATTCACTTGGTTATCTCTAAAGCTCACATGAATTTGTTCTTGAAAATGTAAAAGGCACTGCCGTCAAACTAAAAAGCTGTCTGGTGAGTCACTGACTGACTGGGCAATGAGACAGCTGTCTTATTCTTTGAACAGCCAGAGGGAGATCTAAATATTATTTACTGATGAGACTTTGATGACGTCAAAAATTGACAAATAAATTTATGTTATGTAATTTATAAATTTAAGTTATGAAAACTTGTGAATTTGTCATTAAAATGCACTAATGTATAATGTGTGGTGAGTCACTACTTTAAATATCTGCATTAGTGTAGTTAAATAAAACAAACCAAAACAATTAAAAATATATATTTTTTAAATAGTTTAACAAACAACAAAAAAAGACTTAGACTAATCAGCCAACCCATAAGTTTACATCTGCATTAAATTTCTTTAAACATGACCAAATCGAGTGCATGCGAGTGTGTGTGTCTGTGTTTAACACATACCTGCCAGAATAGCTTTGTGTGCCTGGAACTCTTGCCCAGCGACACACAGCGAACAGTCCGTGAATCTGGAATGTTCCCACAGTCCGCCCAGTTCATCTGCCAGGCGACAGTCAGGGACCTTCACCATGTTCATGGTGTTCTGACCCGAGATATTCACGGAGTCCTGCACCACACTCACCTAAACTCAAAAAACAGAATGTTTTGCACATGAAAAATTTGTATTTTTGCAGTTACAACAAAACTATCATACTAGAAAGAGATGCCTGCATATCAGCCCATGTATTGAAAGCATGCATCGTAAAAAGCTAGTGAGACTGGTATTTGATATTGATCGTGCGAATAATCAGACGATATTTGATCATTTTGAGATGATCAGTCTGCTTGGTTGATTAACAGAAGTGGTCATTCCTCTCGGAGTCGGTTTCAAAGTGGAAAAAAAAAAATTGTTAATTGATGGTTCAGAATTTTAAATATTCTTAAGTACCCATTGGCCAAGTATTGGGGGAAAAAGCAGTTTATTTATAATAAAAAAAATACTGAGTGCACCTTTACATTGTTGTATGCTATTATTCAATTATATATGAATTGTATTAGCCATTACCACCCACCACCCTTCTTCTGAGAGAGGCCATTAAAAAGTTACCAGATTAATGTGTCATTTAAAGGACAACCATATAAAAAAGTTAAATATAATTTCTTCTCAACTTGACATGTTGATATTAGTATTAAATTATAATTATATATATATATATATATATATATATATATATAAATAATGTATATAAATAAATATAATGTATATATGAAGAGTTCAAATGCAAAAGCCTCTAAATGCCATTTGAAATTTTCTACTAGAATGATCATTTTTATCAAGCTTGTATATTTAAGTTCAGTGATTTCACTTAAATGGCAATGATAATTACCTATTAATTGTTATTTAAGTGAAATTACTGAACTTAAATATACAAGTTTGATAAAAATCATCATTAAAGAAGAAAATTTCAAATGGCATTTAGAGGCTTTTGCATCTGAACTCTTCATATATATATATATATATATATATATATATATATATACACACACACACACAATTTTTTTATATATATTAATAAACACACACACAAATCAACCACTATTTCAGATAGATTTAAGGACATCCATATGTCAGCCAAAATGGTAGCTTCTGATTATCAGGGGGGACACTACAACGACTGTTCAACAAGGGCAGCCGTCTAGTTATCTCTTAATTTACACAAATTGCCTCAATTTGTTACTGGACTCTGTGTGTGAGCGTGTGTATGTGTGTGTGGTGAGCCACCATGCTGACTTAGCCACCTGTTCCCGCAGACATAAGCAGGTTCATTTATCTCACTCCAGGAGTCACACACACACACACTCTCTCACACAACCACAGAAATGATACAGGTTCTCACACCAACTTAATTGCCGTATAAGGCACATTTCCTTAATGAGCAAAACTCCTCACAGACAAGCCTCAAGACTGAGGATATTTCAAAACCTTGTGAGCTACCTTTACAACATTTTGGGCATCATAAGACAAGTACTGTATATTCAATTTAATTTAAACTGTATAAAGGCAACGCTAGAAAACTGGACATTTCTTGTTAGCTGCATAATGACAATGGCAATTAAACAATTAGCACAATCCCAGAATGTTTGTTTATAATTTTATTTTTTTAATTCAAGGATTATATGCCGACAGGGGTGAAAATGACACCGAAGAAGAGTAAAAGGGAGTGAGAATGAGACAGAACTGGATGGAGATGGAGGAGAGTGAGTATGACACAGAGAAAGGGGGTAAAAGAGCACCACAAACAGGAAATTAAATGTCAAGGACCCTTGTATGCTCTTAATGGAGGAGGGAAACAGGGAAGACAGCAGATGAGAAGGAGAGGGACAAACAAGGAAAGAGGGCAGGAAAACTAGCAAGATGAGGACAGTTTGGGGACCCAAAAAATACAACCATTTCCCGTTTACCCTTTGTGCTATCCATTACATGAATTACATTTTTTAAAATTGTTTCATGCTCTGACAGCTGTAAATGTTCCCATTTTATAACCAAGCGATTAATGCATCAGTCACTGTAATTTCATAATTTGTTTAATATTATGGCTATAGCAAAACAACTTTATCTTCAGCCTCAGAAATTGGATGGATCACTACTTTAAAGTCAAGCAAGTCACTTTAATGAGCGGTGCGAGATGGGCACTAGAGCAGCTCTGTGCTGTCTGGACTCTTAGTATGAGAGAACGGTTTACTGTGTGTGTAAATCTAAACACAGAATCTAATGAGGGAGGAGGGTGTAAACTTGCGTGTATGCTATTCTCCCCCTGAATTTAATGAATGAACCTGCAACACACAACAAAAAAAAAAACTCACTGAGTTAAACCCATGTGCGGATGTTCATCACACACTCATTAGCGGCAAACGAAACAGAAAGAGAAGAGAAAAAAACTACGGCAGGTGACTTCCTGCATATATAAATACACAGTCTTGACTACTAGCACTGCACCAGCCTCATGCTAATGAGCTTGTCCAGGTCATAATGCATTCATTGATTAATCAAACCAAGCAGTGAGTAAATTACACACACTTTAATTAATTACCACACTGTATCTTCTCACTTCATCTCTTAACAACAAACACACCTCCACTGAGCACCAATGCAAAAGACATTTAGCACAGAATTCCCCACTACTTCTCAGAGAGGTTACAGAAATGGACACTATTCGCTGGTCCCATTTACAAAAGCTTTCTATTACAGATAAATGCTGTTCTTTTGAACTTTCTATACATTAAAGAATAGAACAACATTTCTGAGGGATCATGTGACACTGGAGATTGGAGTAATGATGCAGAACATTTAGCTTTGCCAACACGGGAATAAAGTACATTTAAAATGTATTTAAATTGAAAAAAGTTATTTTTAAATCGTAAAAAAAATATATATATACTTCACAATATTAGTGTTGTTGCTGTATTTTTGATCAAATAAATGCAGCTTTGGCACGCAGAAAAGACTTTCTTTTAAAACATTTTTTTAAAAAAATCATACCAATCTATGGTTTTACATATCAGGACATTAGAAAAACATCTGGCCCTTGGCAGGTCTACAAATTAGGAAAATACAACCTAGAAAAAAACTAGAAATTTTGCAGCCACAGGACCTGCTGGGCATCTTACGGTGTTTGAGTCGACCATTAACTCCTCTTTGTACCAAAGTATTCTAGAGTCAAATGTGACTGTCCCACAGTCAAAATTGGGCCTTACAACGGGACAATGATGCCAAGCACACAAGCAAATCTCACAATAGACTGGCTGAAAAAGAAAAGAATCAAGGTGTTGCAATGGCCCAATCAAAGCCCAGACCTCAACCAATTAAAATCCTGTGGCAGGACCTTAAGAGAGTGGTCCAGAAACCAGAAACAGATGCCCACAAACCTCAATGAACTAATGCAAGGTTGTTGTTTTTTTTTTTTTTTTTTTTGTTTTTTTTTTTAAAATTCATCTAGAGACTGATAAAGCCATAAAGGAAATGATTGCTTCAAGTAATTGCTGTTAAAGATGGTTCTTTTGTGTGTGTATTAAATAAATAACACAGTGTTATATGTCATGTGGTGTTGTTAATCTGAGGTTGAATTGTTGAATTTTAAAACCAGGTGATTTTTTGATTGTCCTGATTCTTAAAACCATAGAACTCAAAGGGGTGTACTTTCTTTTTCACAAGACTGTATAGACACCCATATATAAATCAAAACGTATAAGAGAATGTGTCTGTTTTTGACATTTAGTGTAAAGAAAAGAACATTTTTTTTTATACATGTAAAATATCTGGAAGTCTGTGACCCCGGAAGCCATGCACATTCAATTTACAAAAGGCTGCATCTGCTCTTACGATAATAAAATAGATACTGCTACCTTAATGTAAAATTACTCGTACTGTGATTTAGGTCATAAGTCCCACCGCTATCAGAAACTATTGTGTATATCATCTGATGTCAAAACTATGTGATCAATTTCACTCAATGCATCCTAAAGAAACGGATACAGACCGACAAGAGATGCAAGCTTTATTTATGAGCAGCTGTATGTGTGTGACAGAGTTTGTGTTTAAACAGTAATTCTGTTACTGACAACACATATGTTTTTACACGCACCATTTCCATTCAAGCTGTTCAAGTCTGGCCCCGACCGTAAACCTCCCTTTTTCTCCTTCACCTGATCTCTTTCCCTCCTCCTGACACCAGCATCTGCCTCTCGTTTCACCGCACTCGTTGTGATGATGTATACGTGTGAGAGCCGACTCGTGTGCAGAGAGACTACCAACCTCATTGACTTTTGCAGAGATGCAAGCACAACACTGAGGAAACGATTCATGTGTTTGGGGTGTTTCTCAAGAGGATCGTAACGCATCAGTTTGTCACATATGTGACAGAAATGTTCAGTGTGAATACAAACAATCAAATTCTCTTATTTTCATTAAGGCAATATGGTTTAGCACTTTTCCTTCCCCTCAACACACTCTCAACTCTGCTGAGCCCTCAGTGTTTTGAGGGTGAAGAGAAACAAAGCAGATGCTGCAAGTATAGAACATTCCTTCCTCTTAAAGTGACAGTTCACTCCCCACATCATGTTCTCCAAAACTTGTATGACTTCCTTCTGTGGAACATACAATACCGTACAAAAGTAAGGTCACTACATTTTCTTTTTGAAAGAAATGAATACTAATACTCAGCAAGGAGAGTAAACTGATTACAAGTAACAGTGAAGACATTCATATTTCTGTTTCAAATAAGTGCTACTCTTTTTAATTTTCTATTCATCAAATAATGCATCAGGGTTTCCACAACCTGTTAAGCACAACTGTTTTCAAAAATTGACAATAATATAATGCTTATGAAGCAGCAAATCATCCTATTAGAATGATTTCTGAAGGATCATGCGACACTGAAGAGTGGGATAATGCTGATAATTCAGCTTGACATCTTCCTATAATGTAGACTGGTTGAATATAAAAAAAAAAAGTACTGACTTTAAACGTTTACATTTTTAGGAACTGTATCTGTCGCTCTTTTTAATGCAATTGCAATAAATAAGTTGACTGAGGCTTCAGGCATCGAAAAAGGAAAGCAAAAGCACCATACAAGTACATATTGAATAAATACCACAACAACAACTTGAACTATTCCTTCAACTTGTTACCATTTCTTAACTTTTGTGTGTGCATGTGTGTATATGCGTGTACGTATATATCAGCAGCAGATGTTGCAGCCGTAGTGGATCTTGGAGATATCAGTGTGGCATATGGCTGCACTGAGTGAAAGATGGCTGCTGTCAGATGGAGAGAGAGAGAAATGGAGAGCTCATTTATTTACTATGAGCAATCTACCTGCAGGAGGATGTAGGAGGAGTGAGGGAGTGATGTGGAGGTGAGAAAGAAGAAGAAAGAGAAAGCAAGAACAGGCGAGTGAGTGAGTGAGTGAGAACCCACCCAGAATTAGATCCTCATTTTCTTCCTAAATCCCTCCATCTCAACGGCCACAATGACACCAAGTACTCCACCTCTAATGGGACCCCTCTCCTCATTAAAAACACAGAGGGAAAAAAGGAGAGAGAGAGAGGGGAATGTATGCTCAGGCCCTTATTTAAGGAGCTAACACCTAAAAAAGAAACCACATAAGAGGACAAAGAAATAGAGAGAGAAACACCTCAAATGTAGGCAAAAAAATAAATATATATATAAGAATGGAATTGTGGGAGGAAAAGTGTGAGTTAAGAATGGTGCAAGAAGGAACAAAGGAGGAGGCAATGCTAAAGTTCCAGGAAATAGTAATGAGATACAGGAGGAAAGGAGGAGGAGGAGAGGGGAAAGAGTTCATCCATCTTGATTAGGGATGTGTAAAACCACATATTTTCAAGACGAGCCAACTAATTAGTTTAAGTTGATTTCAGGATTATCTGACCCCTATCAGACACATTTCTTTGGGAGTGTTTACACAAGGCACATGTGTTAAAAAAAAAAACAGCTAGACAGAGCGGAGTGGAACAAAACTGGGCTCTCATGTTTTTTTTTTTACTATTTCTATTTCTAATCAACACTTGTAGCAGCACGCTCAAACACTGCAAGGCATGGAGTAACAACTAAAAGCATCCGTCTGAATGTCTATGACTAGTGGCAATGCTTTGAAGGAGAAGATTTTAAAGGCATATAGTTCACCCAAAAATGAAAATTCTATCATTGTTTACTCACCCTCAAGTTGTTCCAAACCTCTATGTGTTTATTTGTTCTGCTGAACACAAAGGAAGATATTTGGAATAATGTATTAATCAAACAGATCTCAATCCCCATTGACTACCATAGTATGTATTTTTTTTTTCCTACTATGGAAGTCAATGGGGATTGAGATCTGATTAAAACATTATTCCAAATATCTTCCTTTGTGTTCAGCAGAACAAATAAACATAGAGGTTTGGAACAACTTGAGGGTGAGTAAATGATGAAAGAATTTTCATTTTTGGGTGAACTATCTCTTTAAAGTAGTGCTGTCAAACGATTAAAATATTTAATCGCAATTAATCGCATTAATGTCATAGTTAACTCACGATTAATCGCACATTTTTATCTATTCTAAATGTCTCTTGATTTCTTTTTGTTACATAATTTTTTTTTCTGATTTTAATGCTCTTATCAACATGGAAAAGTGGAAAAATTATTATTGAAAATAACATCGGAATAGTGTTCAATTTCACACTAACATATAGCCTATAAATAATCTCTCACACAATGTAACACTGTCTATCAATAAAAGGGTGAAAGAAATACTGACGAGGCCCTAATATTGACGAGGGGGCGGAGAATTCGCATCATCTGTGTGTGTGTGTGTGTGTGTGTGTGTGTGTGTGTGTTTTCTTGGCCATCATCAAGTGGTGTTTCAGACTGGACGTGCGCTGCGATGATGATCGCTCCGTTCACAATGACAACACACACAGATCACTTGGTCTTGTCAATGTGACAATTTGGCAACTTTTTAAAAGTAAACTTTCCATTCAGAATCTTTAGGCATCCATTTCGGCGTCTCGCGCTCGTCATCCACTCAAAAGTAACGTTACTATTTTGGCTGGCTCGCAAGCCGAAAGGAGTGTGTGCGGCACAAAACGTCCTCACGCTGCGCTCTGAAACCCATTCATTTCAATGGCTTGCGCCGCATAAGGACGTTTTGTTGCTTCTTCGACCAAAGCGCAAGTGGATCTAGACCAGAAACAAAACAACAGGCACGCCGCAAACACACGTTTCGCATTGAGTGGATGACGAGCGCGAGACGCCAAAACGCATTCCCCGTCCTGTTGCACAAGCATGTGAAAAAACTACAAAGTTTGCTAGGACAAAAAGACCGTTAATCGCGCGATAAAAAAATTAACGCCGTTAAAATGGGTTTGCGTTAACGCCGTTAATAGCGCGTTAAACTGACAGCCCTACTTTAAAGACACTATTTTTTTTTTCAATTAATACTTTTATTTAAAGTACTAATTGATCAAAAAAAAAAGATTTCGGTTTCAAATAAATTCTATTGTTGGAACATTTTATAACAGAATGTAAAAAGTGCCTCAGTTTTCACAGTTTTCAACATTGACAATAAGAATTTTGTCTTGAGTACCAAATCAGCATAATAGAATGAAAGATAATGTGACACTGAAGAGTAGAGTAATGATCCTAACATTTCAGCTATTGCTTTACATTTTAAAATATATTCAAATAGAAAACTTAAAATATTTACAATTGACGATAATGGGGATGGGCATTTTCAAAAATATTGCATTCGAAAATTCTGGCTCATAAAAATGGAATATTCGTTTATTTAAATGACAATAGCGAAAAAGACGTTATTTTTTAAGTTTAAAGTTTTTGTCACAATCTCAAGTTTACAATTATGCAATATACACAACAAGCTTACAATATATGTTAATGTTTCATTTAGTTGAAAACATTAAACAGTAGTCCTATGTGTAAACAAATAATATAAAAAACAAAAGCATTAATAAAAGCAATGTCAAGCAGCGCGAACGGGAAAAAAACGTCTAATAAAGCGATTGTGCCAGATATCGTACAGAACGTACAAACACACTCGAGTCAGCGCATGATTATCATGTTTATATTGAGAAAAAACAATATCCACATGCAGGGGTGCCGCCAGCAATTTATGCTTGAGTGAGAAAAAACGCTGCGCTGACAGACGTTTCAGAGACGCAAGGATATCGATGTTCTAAGCATTTTCTGTTCTCCAGTCTCCCTCAAAGAAAACTTAAAGGAAGTATATGTATCAAAATCATTAAGCTATAAGTTAAGTTATTATCATGGATCATGTGGGGTCCAGCTGCGCTTATCTGCAGTCGTGATGCAGTGATGGACAGCTTTCTTTCCTCATTCGACTCTTTGGATTTCATGCGATTTCTCATTGTGGTGATGATATTTTAACTTAGATTAATTGATTAATTTGATCAAAAGTAATTCCGTTTATAAGATCATTTTCAAGTAATTCCACAGCGCCACCCAGTGCATTTAATTATACACCCCTAAATGATAATACACAATATTACTGTCTTGACCAATTTAGATCAAATAAATGCAGCCTTGGTGAGCAGAAGAGACTGAGCCCAAACTTTTGAAAAGTAGTGCATCTAAAAAACTAAGAAAAGAAGCTCAACATATGATTGGTTGTGCATCACTTACCTCACAGAAGAGTGTCAATTTGTCATCAGGCAGCAGCCCATTGGCCTCATCCAGGAGGAAGTCTCTCCTTATGAACTTCTTGAAACCCCAGTCTTTTCCTTGTACGAAGCGATACGCTCGCTGGCTCTCTGCACAAAAGTAAACATATTGGCACGGAATTGATTAGGTGGACACAGCACACCAGTCTTGAGCCAGGTCTCTGTAATGGCATGACCTGTTAACATTAATTTCATCTAAAGAACCTTTAAAAACAATACAGAACATCCGCTAATTCAGTCAAGTATTATGTTGAGCCAAAAACAATCTATGCAAGACATCTCACAGACACAGATCAGACTAATCTGAATCCAAATACTCTTTAAGAGGCTTTTCCACCTATCTGGCAAGGTCTATAATCTTGCTCTCCATTAATTTCTGCATTATAACCAGTCTGATTATTCTGTGATTTTTTGTTCCCCTGCTGTTTCTCTGAAAGCACATTAAACCTGCATGAATGCATGAACCTCCATGCACACACACACACAGAGTGAAACTGTATTTTATAGCTGCTATGTTCAAACCTTCACTCCGTGACTGCAGATGTTTTAGCTGACGCACAGGATCTGGTTGAGAAGTGTAAGTGATAGACGGAGAAATAGAGGGGAGAAAAGGAAAGGGAGAAAGATAAGGAGGAGGAAAATGAGAAAGAGACTGAGGAGGAGAATGAGGAGGAAAAGGAGGAGGGGGAATGAGAAAGAGCAACAGCGGAAGGAAGAGGAGGTGAAGGGGAGGAGGAAGGTGAAGTAGGAGAAGGGTGAGGATGAGCATAGGGAAAAGGGGAAGGAGGAGATTGAGAAGTGGAGGAAGGAGAATAAAAAAGGGGAAGTAGGAGGAGGAGGAAGGGTAGAAGGAGGAGGAGGGAGGGAAGGAGGAGGGGAAGGGAGGAAGGGAAGGAGGAAGGGAAGAAGGATAAGTAGAGGGGAAGGGAGGAGTAGTAGAGTGGAAGGAGAAGGAGATGAAGGGGAAAGGTAGGAGGTAGGAGGGAAGGAGTAGATGGAAGTGATGAGGAGGAGTAGAGGGGAAGAGGAGGAGGGAGGAGGAGTAGAGGGGAAAGATGAGGGGAAGGGATGATGAGTAGAAGGAGAAGGAGGGGAAGGGGAAAAGAGGAGTAGGAGGAGGATGGGGAGGTGGAGTAGAGGGTAAGGGATGAGGATGAGTAGAGTGGAATGAGGGGAATAGGAGGAGTAGAGAAGAAAGGAGGAGGGGAGGAGGATGAAGGGATGAGAAGGAGAAGAAAGAGAAGAAAATGGAGAAGAGGAAGAGCAAGAACAGCATGGAGAAAAAAAAAATAAGGATGAAGAACAAAAAACCCCACTATATTTACACACGCTATATACCCAACAAGAAAGTTTACATTACCTACAGGAGGATTTCTCCTTTGTCACTACTTTCATGCACAGAAGGGGGGAGAAGAGAAATTCACGACACATTAAGTGAGGAAGAGTGAAAAAAGGAGAGATGAATAGATTCCTTTGTGCTTTTGTTGCATTGTGAGAATGTGTGACAAGCACACTCTATCAAGCGTGACATCCTCTCTTCCTAAACGTTACACTTGTTCTAGTGAAGCATCTTTCCTCTTTTCTCTGTCAGCCAAGTGCAGCTGGGGCTCAAAACATTGTGGGTTAATCTGCTGCTGTAGTTTGTTTGTGTGTGTGTGTGTGTGGGTGCAGGGGTTTCAACATGGTGTGAAATGGCTATGTTCACAGCTCGACTGTGACAGTCATCCACACAATGGGGGAGCAGTGGAAGGGCAACAAAACACATGGAAGACCCTCGTCTCCCTTCAAAACAGAACTTGAGTCACAGTAACTTTCCAAATTCTGATGCTGCAACAGGTTAATATAAAACTGATAATAATGATTACTTTATTTTGCATATAGAAAAGTACATTTTAGAAAAAACACATGCAACATGATTTTATACATGATACTATATTTTTTCTAATTTATTTCAGATGTATTAACTCTTAACAAACGATACTTTTACATTTGTCTTCGATTATTATTATTATTTTTTTTTTTTGCAATAAGCAAGGCACGGCAGGGTGGGGGAAGGAGGGCAGTTGGCAAATGTGCAAATTCGTCATAAAAGAAATGGGAAAATAAACAATGGCAGTGTCACTTTATTTCTGTTCAAACAAAATATAAAAGTTGACTTTTGATTTTTTTGGTGAATATACGGCACCAGACAACCTTTTTGCCTTGGTTAAACTGGTGCGCCTAACATTTTTATTTAGATACACCAGCACAAAATTTAGGTGCACCCAAATTTTTCCTCGGTTCACGTCCCCTTTAATGACAAGAGCAACCTCAACACGCCTCTGCAGAGATGGATGGCCCGACGAAACGTATCAAACATCAAATGTTGTCTTGATCATCCTAAAATTTCATACCCACTGCCACAATCTCATGAAAGAATCATATGCATGCAACAACTATTTTTTGGCGTATAAATGGCACGAGAAATAAAATCTGTGCTATAGATGCGCACTCTCATGAGATCATGTTTTATGTTCCCAACAGTCCTGAAGCGTCTCTTACTGCGCATTCGTCCATCTGTGCAAGAAGAACCCCCTTTCAACATTTTCGATGTTTCGGATCCATGTCAAGTGTAAACGCATGAATCGGATATGGGTCACAATTTAAAGAACGTGCAAACGGACGGTCAAAAAACAACAACAATCGGATATAGGCAACAAATCAGAATTGGGAATCACGACCTCCAGTGTAAACGAGGCCACGGCAATCAGCATCAGCGAAATAAACACAACAGTCAAAAGAAATGGACACAGTTTTTTCTTTAAGAAAAGTAGGCCTGTTCCCCGCAACACTCTCTCTGGTCAATACTCCGACAACAGCCCAGACATGGAGCTGCTTCAGCCATCAGTTCAGGGAAGCACTTTCAAACAGCTATTTCTATTTTAAAATGTTTTATTGTGCTTTAAATGTTTTAGTTTGGCAGCTCAGTGAAGTACTTTAAACATTTTTTTATTTCTATATACAGTATAATTGTGCTTCAAATAAAATAAAAAAGTATTTACCAACATCTTATTCTTGTTTAAAATAATTTTCATACTAAGAATGTAAATGGAGCATGATAAAACGTTTACCTTTTGTGGCGTTAAACCGCGGATAGGTAGCCTAGTCGCATTGGCACATATCTGATTTATATCTGATTTATGTCCACATTTGAAAGAGGCTTGAAACCGATCTCGAAATATCCGAATGCATGCGTTTTTTTCCCGATTCTCTGGTGCTCAGGAAAGCGCGGATTACGAGCAGTGTATGCCTACAGGAATATCTGGACCACAGCCAATCAGAGGCAAATACCCGCCCCATCTCTGTCTCTGATTGGTTCAGACCACGATATGATGCAACCATAAGTGTGACTTCCGTCAAAGGAGAGCAAACGCTTCATTCGTGGGAGACAGCGGATACAAGGACGTTAGGTCTTACTCTAGAGCCCTCTATCGTCTACAGTCAGTGCATGTCCATGCTGCCCGTGTTATTTGGATGCATCGTTAAAGAACTTTGGCTCTCAACTCTTCATTAGATGACACATTATTTAAGGCTCTGAAGTATGGCTTCAGAAGTATGGCTTTCAGGACTGCCTGTATTGCTCATGAGTTGTAATGTCTCAAATTGAACAGACAGTAATGTTCACAGATGGCATGTTTTGATTCAGCTGCTTTGGAGAATATCCTGATGGACCAGTGGGTAATTAACCCTCCCAGAATCAAGAACTTCTCAGTAAATCAAGTTACTCACCTATTAAATGGTAGAAGCAGAATTTCAAAACTTAATTTTTCAAACCCCACACCATACTGGCATGAATACACAACAGGTGAAAGCAACTTTGCTGCTCATTCCATGACACAAACAACCAATAAACTATTACATTCCACATGCTGAAGCAAAATCCTTAACCAGAGATGCACAAAACTTTTCAAGAAATGTATAAATGAAGATGGGGAGAGAGAGAGAGAGAGAGAGAGAGAGAGAGAGAGAGAGAGAGAGAGAGAGAGAGAGAGAGAGAGAGAGAGAGAGAGAGAGAAAGGAAGTGAGAAGAAAAAGTGACAGAGACACTGATTGGTCTCTCGAGGAAGTCTGAGGTCAGATCAGGGCAGTGGCTAAATTTGTGCTCTCATTGGGGACGTCTGGCAACTAACCAATTGCAGTAGGGCAGGGAAAGTTCCTGTTGGCATCCAACCAGGGTCAAGCCTCTGTGGACACGAATACACAAGCAGCGAGGAGGAGTGTTTTAGGACGTTTAATGGAATACAGCTCCAATAAAAAAGAACTGACAGATGGATTATCCAGATATCGAGGGACAAGAGAGGGTTAAATCATTGGAAAAAAAAAGAGCAATCAGTAGTAATACATATTCAAGCCCCGGCACTGGGCATTGGGGCACAGTGCCTAATGTCCTGGCACACCGAGAGAAAGAGAAGGTTGCTCGGATCACAAATACACTAAGCATAAGCACACAGAAAGCCAGGGAGGTTGAAAGGCCAAGTTCTGTTTGCCCATACTTTAAAACACGGCTGTAAGTGAGCAAAAATAGGAGAATTCCTGTGGGCATGCATCAATTGATCAGAGTTCAACAGCAAAACATTTTAATCTGCAACACTACAATTCCTCAAGAAAGATATTGAGGGCGTCAAGTAGTCTCAGCTTCGGACAAAATGTCCATTGAGCGCCCACAGATGACCTGATGCATACTGCACTGCGCACACACAAAGCAGCTAAAGTTGGCAGAAATAGCCAGTTCTGAATCAATTGGCTTGCACATCTACGACTTTCAGGTGTCAGGATACACAGGTTATTCTCTACAGAAGAATTCCTTATTAAATTTGCAAACATTTGCAAGGACCATGACATCTAGTCTTTGAAATATATCCAAAAAAGCCACTTAGCAGCAAGCAAATTATCTCTTTTAGCAGATGGTCTTTTAGTTAGATGGTTGATTCCCGTCTACATGGGCGGTTGTTGGACAGAATAAGCTGCAAATAGGGAGATTTTACAAGAATAGTCAAATGTCTGGCTATGACACTAAATTAACATTCTCACAACGGCATCAACACAATCCA